ATGAATCACCAATATCAGATCTGTACAGCCAGTCAGTTACGTAGAAGTAAGGGCCTTAGTGATGCACCATACAGATATTCGACTCAGGGATGTCCAGATAATTAACTTAACCTTTGCCACGCTAGAAGTTCTACTGCTCTGCCTCAATCCTTATACAGTATAGAGCTCTACTGTCTATGTGTAAATGTACAATAAATATATCTTAAAAATATATTCTGGGTAAAATATGTTTAACAATTTTATAGATTCTTCTGGAAACAGTCACTGGAGACTTTAAAGACTGAAGAGTTAAGATAGATGGGGTACTTTTTACAGAGTTATTTTACTTTTTACAGCTGCTTTCCTGTCCATTAATCCAATAAAAGAGAACCAGTCAAGAATGCAATAAAAGAGAACTTTTAAGAATAGGAATGTCCACTATTAAGTTTTATATGTAGATTTACTCTCAGGGACAGGTGTGTGTGTGTGCTGTAATTCACTTGTGTTTGCTCCCTGAAAGAGCAGATATGTCAGATCCATGTCAGGCTTTGAGGTTGTGATTGTTATCATCCTTGCCTCATGTTAGGTCTGGTAACTGACACTCTGTCCAAGCTTGTGGGGGAAGTAAGGACCTGTGGTGCTTATGTTCACATTCCCATGCAAGTCTGTAAAACCTGCTTGAAGCAGGTCAGAAGTAAGTCAGCTGAATGGCAAATGGACAAATCAGTAAATTCTGAATGACCTCAGATGAGTCTTAAACTGATGCCAAACTGATACCATAACCACAATCCTAAAGCCTGTCAACACATTGAACATGGTCTTTATTTTGCTCCTATGTAATCCTGACAGAACCTTTGTTATAAGACAGTGTTATGATTAGTGATGGGCCAAACACCCTCCTGTTCGGTTCGAATTTGAACTTTAGAACATGGAAAAGGTTCAAATTCGAACTCAAACTCAATGCAAGTCAATAGCGCTAGAACTTTGAAAATCAATTGACCCAATTTTCAAGGCTTATATGCAATTAATTGGCCAAAAAAAGGGTATGGTGATTCGGGTACTGCCCTGGGGGACAGGAATCAAATGAAAAAAAAACACTTAAAAAAAATACTGTTTTTAAAGGAGCAGCGATTTTAACATGACTTAAAGTTAACAATAACATTTACAAATCCTTTAAATATCGTGCCTGGGGGGTTCCCTTAAACTGCCTGAAAAGTGGCACATCTGTACAATGTATAAAACCTGCTGCAGCAAAAATAACATTTGTGAAGAAAAAAATGATTTAAAAAAACAACACCAGACCCTTTAGGTCTGGTAGGAATGGTAGGAGGGATCCCATTTTTAAAAAATTAAAAAAAAAAAAAACGTGGAGTCCCCCCAAAAGTCATACCGGACCCTTAAGGTCTGGCAGGAATTTTAGCAGGGACCCCATGTAAAAAAAAACAAAAAAAGTGTGGGGTTCCCCCTCAAAGTTATACCAGGCCATTAAGGTCTGGTAGGAATTTTAAGGAGGAACCCCACCCCCAAAAATGGTGGGAAAAAAAAGTGTGGTCCCACCTAAAATTCCATACCAGACCCTTGATCTGAGCACAGGCCTGGCAGGGCAGGAAAAGGCCCAGTTTTAAAGCACCTGTTGTAACTTTCATCCTCCGTCTGCAAAAGAGACACCAGAATTTACCAAAAAAATATATAACCTTGTTCTGAGTTTCCTAAAATGTGGCCTGTTCATACAGGCTGCCTCCCCAACAGTTGTTTACAAGATTAAAGGAAAACCAATTACCGGCAATTTAAATGTCACTGTTTTCTTTATAAATGTCAGTTTTGCTGCAGCAGGTTCTATACATTGTACAGATATATCACTTTACAGGCAGCTTCATCAGCTTCTTCAGGGGGGTCCTAGGTGACATGTATCCATAAAGAGTACCTGTCAGTTCTTTTGCTATCACATATAGGGGTTTCTTAACCCCCTCTGTGATAGCAATAACGTTAAGTGAAAAAAAAAATAGGAAAAAAAATGTAAAGTTTCCCCAAATTTTTTTTGAAGTTACACATAAAAAAGAATTACAAAAAAATAATTTTTTTTAGTCCCCACCCCTACATACACGCATGTAAACATGCGTCAGGTGCGCATACCTGCGAAAATGACGATTGCGCCCATTACGCCGCACATGTTACATATCACCGCGAACGTCGCAGTGAGAGCATTAATTTTAGGGCTATCAATCACTGATAACACTAAACTGATGAGCTGTAAAAGCTTTTAAAGTGTCGCCTATGGCCAATTTTGGGGTATGCTAGTTTTTTGTGATTTCGCGAGTGCTCGCAATTTTTCAGCATGGCATGTTTGGTGTCTATTTACCCGACGTGACCCCGTCTTTTATATTTTACCAAAAAAATTGTTAATATTAGTTGTTTTATAACATAATGTAAAAGAAAAAAACTTTTATTTCTCAAAATTTTCAGTAATTTCTCCTGAATATAGTAAAATATAGTAAATACCACCAAAAGAAAGCTCTATCTGTCCCAAAAAAATGGTATAAAATTAATTTCAGTACAGCGTTGCATGACAGAATAAATGTCAGTCAAAGTACCGCAGCGCTGAATACTGAAAAATGGCCTGGCCAGGAAGGGGGTCTAAACACCCGGTCTTCAAGCGGTTAAAATATATATACAGTACCTTTAGTTAAACAAAAACAGGATCAGCAGTTTCAGCTCAGGCCCAACTAAATTTTAACCATTAAACAATTAAATAAAGAGCTGAGCCATTAAAGTTCAAGCCCACTGATTAAATACATTTAGAAAATGAGTATACATATCACACAGAGCCAGAATCTGTATATCTGTATGTACATAAAGTGTATATCTCTTTGAAAGATGAGAAATGTGCTGTAGATCTGTGAAAGTTATATTCTTTTCATCTAGTTCAGAGCTGTTGAACTTCGGTCCTGCCAAATAATTTGTGGCAGATGCAACGATTTTTTGGGATGAACTTTACTAAACGGAGTATCCGTAATATAATCCTAAATGGATTGGACATGGCAACTCTGATAAGTTCCAAAATGTCTGTGTATATGACTTTTTTTATTTCTCGCCTTTAGATTTTTTTGCATAGCTATTTGATAGCTTTACATGAACTAATCTATGAGTACTTGCCTGTGCATCCTGTGTTAGTGATGAAATTGTGTCTGACCACAGTACACAAGGAAACTGTGTCACTACTGTGATTTATTCACAGTAGGGTTCAGAGTTGTCATTCTAGAGGAAACTACAGCTGATGGGTTTATTCACTCAACCATCATATCCATAAGGAAAGAAACTTCAGAAAGCATGTAGGATAATGTCCAAAATGTTGTATTATAAAATTTATACTGATGTATATCGCTGTAGTCTTTATGTGTATTAATGATTGTTTTCATATTAACTGTACATAATCTAATTACTGTTTATCCCGGCGGGACTGAATTCTTAATGCAGGTCTAAATATCTAGTGTTTCTGTTAAATGCTCCAATCTTATGGGGTGACTCTAACTATATATTTTAATTCATGTTCCACAAATATTATGTTTATTAGCAAGTCATTCCTATTTTTCATTTTTATGACATTTGATGGAAGAAATCTACATTGAAATATGCTTAGGTGCTGTATTGTTATTTGTCACCATGTCTAAATGCAATGAATTGTGTCTACAAAGTAGCTACCACAGATTGTCTGTCATAGAGACCACCAAACAAAAAAAGGAAGCTTATCATAAAAAAAAGTAGCAATAGCATACCAGGGAAAGAGGAGGAACCAGACAGGTTTCTCAGTACAGTCTATGATGGGGTAGGCAATCTCAGCAGTCCAGCTGTTGTGGAACCACAAGTCTCATGAGGCATTAAAAGATTCTGACAGCCACAGGCATGGCTCCAAGTGACAGAGGTATGAAGAAATTTGTAGTTTCACCACAGCTGGAGTGCCAAGGTTGCCTGCTCCTGGTCCCATAGGCAAGATTTCCCTCAACTTCCTATCTAATAGTTACAAAATGAAGTACAAAGACATCTCTTCAAATATCTCTTAGTTAGTTGTTAGTTTAATAAGTGAACTCATTAGAAGACTTGCCTTCTAATTCTGTTCTAGCCAAGACAAGTTTGGATTTTCCCTCACTTTCAGATCCAGATAGATAGTTACCAGCACAAAGAGTGGAATTTAAATGCAACAGACGTTTCTCTATACAAAACAGAAAAAAAAGTTTTGGCATTAAATATACTTTAAATAAAGTCATTGGCATTTGATGGTGTGATAGAATGTATATTATTCCTACAATTGATTAAATAAATGATTGATTAATAAGAAGGAATTCTGCTATTGTTCAACGCTGTCATAATTATATCACTACAACTAGTCTTTTTCAAACTATTTGTATAACATTGTTGCCCTTCCAGCAAGGATCATCTGTCGTAAACTTTAAAGCAGTAATAAACTGCTGTATGAAGAATGGGTTTTGGCCATAATGTGCAAGTATGCACGTACCTGCACAGTCTGGCACACTTATCTTACAACTTTGCCCTTCTCCAGCACTATTGGATCCATCTTTGATCCCCCGCTCTCTTCCCTGCTGCCACTTCCGGGTTCTGTGGGCATCCTCTTTGGCCATTGCATAGCCATTGATGATGCAACTCCTGCACATGTGCACAGGAGTTATGTCCTTCACGGCATCAGGACCATTTATGGCATGTTAGGGGGCATGTGCTATACAGTGTACACAAAAGATAAAACATTGCTAAGCGAAAGAGGGAGAGCTCTTTGGGGTGAAGAGATAAGAAAAGTCTCTACTGCTCAGCAATTATTTTTTTTTTTTTTACTAAACTTCTGCATTCAGGTTGCTTAACATAATATAGGTGGCTGTTTGCATGGAAACATTTTGTTTCCCAAATGTACTATCCCTTTTATAATATATGAATTTGCTCTTATAAATGCTTACCCAACATGTATAGAATTTCTGTCTGCCTAACCATTGACTGGGTTTCCCTTTGTCCTGCAGGAGAAGATGAACAGGAGGAAAACCAGAAAGTCAAAACCCAGAGGCCACGATCAGCTGATGAGCCAGCTGTATACATGGCACAGACAGGTGAGTTGCAGCCTGCCAATGTGTATTTGTCAATTGTGACCTTGAAAAAATCCTTTGACATAGGTTGCTATGTGAAAGAGCTTGTACATCTCTAGTGCATCTCTAGTGCAGAGCAGTTAATGATGCTGGTGTAGACAGTGAACTCCCCATTAAAAAACATGATATTAAAATGAATAATTAAAACAGATTTAAAAGTACTACAACACCATTGTGACCAGGAAGTTCCTGTCCAATCTAGCTATAACAATATAAAAACGTTTTCCTTTTTTTTCATTTCACTTTGAGTATGCGGTGCAGTCATATTGAGTATGCGGTTCAGTTTTGGTCACCTATCCACAGAAAGGATGTCTTGGAGCTGGAGAGAGTCCAGAGAAGGGCAAGCAAACTAATTAAGGGGCTGGAGGACCTAAGCTATGAGTCAAGGTTGCTAAAGTTTGACCTGTTCACGCTAGAGGTGAGAAGATTAAGAGGGGACATGATTTTAATGTACAAAATGTTTAGTGGTGATGGCAGCATCAGCAATAGACGTTTTACTGTAAACTCCCTAACAAAGACTAGAGGCCACCACCTAAAATTCGTGGAGAAAAAAATGTAACCACAAAGGGCGTAGGGAATTGTTTTCAGTCAGATTTTGGAACTCTATGCCACAAGCAATGGTATCAGCGGAGAGTATTGAATCATTCAAAAATCAATTGGATACCGTCCTCAGAGATCGTAACATACAAGGGTACAGGTACTCTTAAACCTAAGACCAAACAGGAACACATAAACACACATGCACGCACTACACACAAAGGTTGAACTCAATGGGCCTGTGTCTTTATTCAACCCTACTGCCGTATAGTACAGAAACACTGGCAGATTGATGTATAATTCTGGAATGACGTCCTCAGTACACAGACACTGTACCGAGCTGATCCGAGCAGCTGGTACCTTGTGATCGCACTGTGCAGTAAACTTATAGAACATTTACTAAAATCTAAAGGAGGGTCATATAGTCAAACACATGGGGCATAATACTAAATTTCATTTAAAGTGCCCATCAGAATATCAGGAGGACCGTAAAGTTAGGAAGGCAAGGAACACTTAGAAAACCTCTTCAATATGCAGAACTATTGCACAAGAGGGAAGTCCAAAACTGTTCTTCAAATAATTTGTTGTTGTGCTTCCCTCTGCCTGTCTGGATGCAAGTGCACAGAGAGAATGAGACCTCCAAAAGTTACCAGGATTTGCATGAATGGAAGGGACAAGAAAGAGTAGCTAAAGTGCCATCTAATTAATACCATTAATTGTACCTCCCCAGCTGTCATGTTCTTTTATTGCACTGGCATTCATCATCTCTGATCTGTATGAGCTGGTCAGCTAAAACATTGAGAATTTATGCACAGTAGAGCATTGACTCTAAGCTTGACTCTAAAAGACGTTCAGTTATGACAGCTGTCATCAATGCTACCTTACACAACTACACAAGCAGTATTTTATTTGTAGAAAAAAAGTGCTGGGCATAGTTTAAAGATGCCTTGTTGCCAGATTTCAATATATATATATATATTAGTGGGGTATAGCTCAAATGGGGGAATCACCTTCCGTGGGAAAAGGGTAGTCCAGGCAGCAAAGTCCTTCTTTTATCTGACTAGCAGTCAAGTTTTTATTTAAAATGTTGCAATAAAACAGAAAACAAATCCTTGCCTTTCAGGCTCTGACTAAACTGGCAGGTTTCCTCTCTACTAGGTGGTGAGCTTATGTCAGCCACCTAACAAAACAAAAGTACTTTCAGCAACCTTTTACTCACACCCATCCAACTTGTAGCTCTCACAGAATTCTGTCTGAGTCTCAGGCCAGAGCAACATCATGCTTCAGCCTTCCCCTTTTATCTCACCTGGATAATAAATCATTAAAGGAGAACTATGTGGTTTAGGCTTTTCCCCATGGTTCTCCTTAGGGTAACGGGAGGACGCAAACTAGCGTCCTCCCGTCACCCTAGGCTCAGTATACCGCTAGCTGTAGCTCGCGGTACACTGAGACGCCGCAGTATACCGCGAGCTGCTGCTCGCAGTATACTTAGACGCCGCAGCTGAAGTGGATCTCGACAATTGTGCCGAGATCCGCCCAGCTGCGTGACTGACAGCTGACTCTGCCTATCTAGTGGCAGACCCAGCTGTACCCGCCCCCTCCCCCGTCCGTTCCGCCAGTCAGCGCTGGCGGATCGGAGGAGCGGAGAGGGGGGAATCCAGCCCCTCCCCTGTCACGGCAGAGAGCCGTGACAGGATCAAGAGGTGAGCGAACGCAGGTATGTGTTCACTCACCTCCCGATCTACTGAGGCGACCTGTGACAGTCTCATTGTCACAGGTCGGCTAGAACTATGAGGTGAGTGAAAAGCACTCACCTCATAGTTATCCTTTAAGCAATTAACAATCCAGGTGAGAGACACAAAACCCGAGCTGGATTATTCAGACCCAAAGTCAATGCGAAAACTTGGTCTGGGTTCGGCTAATCCTGTACATAGGATAGAAAACGAGACGAAATATATCACCCCTCTATGACTTCCCCTTTCCTTAGGTCACCTGACGAGTAGCTTCCCGTCCGGCCGTTGTAGAGAGACGCCCGATCGCTTGTATTAGTAGCAGCGGTCACTGCCGTCACCTGTCCCGAGATCTGCTGTGACGGTGTGGCCGGGGCCGGCACGGCTGCTCTGTGACAGGAGATCAAAGGGATATCAGCACACGATCTCCCTCTGATCTCCTCTCAAGTATATTACATCACTTCCGCATTCTACTGTCACTCTCCAGCTTCAGAAGCTGGGGAGAAGCTGGTGAATAAGATCTCTGCTTTATCAGCTTCTTTGGGGGTCCCAAGGTGACATTAGGGGCCCCTATGTAATAGCAATTAAGTTAAGTGTAAACATTTTTTTTAAAAAGAGTAATAATAAAATGAAAGCATGAAAAAATTAAAAAAAATAATAATAATTAAGTCCCCCTTACCCACATACACTCGTCGGGTGTCGGGTACATGCAAAAACGATTGCGCCTATTGTGCCGCACATGTTACATATCGCCGCAAACGTCGGAGTGAGAGCAATAATTTTAGGGCCACTAATCACTGATAACACTAAACTGATGAGCAGTAAAAGTGTTTAAAGTGTCACATATGGCCAATTATCGGTGTGGTCGTTTCTTTGCGATTTTGCGCGCGCACAATTTTAAGGCTTGACATGTCTTTTTACCCGACGTGACCACGTGTTTTATATTTTACCAAAAATATGGGTAAGAATAAATGTTTAACATAATGTAGGGAAAACTTTTTTTCCCCAAAATGTACTGTACTTTTTTCATTATATAGTAAAAAATAAAACCCACAGAGGTGATTATATGTCATCAAAAGAAAGCTCTATGTGTCCCTAAAAAATGTTAACATAAATTGCAAGGCTATCGTCCAGTCATGCTGACTGGTGAAATTTTTCAAGCCCTGTATATATATATATACAGTGTATGTGTGTATATATATATTGGCTCTGTCTGCATGGGATGAGATGAAACTCTGTTGAGTCCTACAAAGAGGTTATTCTGTGATATTTTGGTATGTTGTTACCCAGGGACTCTAGATTGAGTCACTGTACGGGTTGTGTCGGTCACATTTTATGAGCTGTTTTCAGATTTCAACAACAGCAATCTTTTTTTTATAAAATTATACATGCATTTAGTATGTATTTTAGGCGTGTTATTTATTCATGTATTTTAGGCATGTTTTATACCTGTAAAAGTCTCCCTTGTGTAGACATCCAAAAGCCCCGAGATTGCTGCTGGGCACTTCCATCTTCCACGTAACATCAAAAGTCCCAGCAGACTCAGAGCTAACACTTTATAATGTTCCCCTCTTCTCTTCCAGCAACATGAAAGTTTATGTAGGGAGGTTGGGGAGGGAAGGAGGAGCTGGGCCAGCATAGAAATTATTTGGACACTCTTAAAAGAGGCAAGGGCTATAATGGAATAAAGGGGCAGTGCTAGAGAATTGGTTAATTGACAAATTTTCTAGCAAGTTCAGAGGCATATTGCAAATTACTAAAATAAATGGTAAGGAAAACACTGCAAGTAAGCATTTAAAATACTTGATTTTTCTGTGCTTTTACCTGCAATGTTTTATGTTGCTGACACAGTGGGTTGATTTACTAACCTTATAAACACACCACGAACATGTATACACCTCTGTAGTGTGTTCCCTCCCAGCATGATCTATGGGTGGAATCTAAACACCTTTGTAGTGTGTACACACCCAGCAGGTGTGTTGTGCAAAGCCCTGCATGAATTTGCAAGGTGATGTTGTGTAAATTAGCTCTATGTTGTGTTGCTTGCGTTGATGAATGCAGGAATGTAAATGCATGAGCTAACCATTTTTGTCTAAACTGTGAAGCAGCATTATATATGCATCATGTGCATGATTTTTCCATATATGGCATTAGTGGAAATATGCTTTTAAAGACTTTTCGGTTGATAAATATGTTTTGCTGTGTAAAAATCACACGCACCTGGTGCGTGCGTGTGTTTAGGTTAGTAAATCACCCCCAGTGTCTTTAAAGCTGAATCTGGACAAATCAGTATTTTCTTACTTGAAAGTATATGCCCTTTGTGTATTTCAGTGCTACTTAATGATCTGGGATAAAACAACTTCTGCACTTTGATTTTGTATCGGAGCTTCCTATAATACACACTGATCCCTGCTGCTCTCCCTCCTCCTGCAGGGTAACTGGTCTTTTATCCACCACCCAGCAGTATTCTGCCGGTGGCCTGTAGGGCTTTTTGGGTCCCTCTTAGGCTACATTCACACCTGAACATTGGATTTTTTGGTAGTTCATGCTTTTCTTGCACATTTGTACACATGTTTGTTGCACATTTTCCGGCTTGGTTTAGCCAATGGAATGCTAGTTATTAGGAGGATGAGTTGTTAGGCAAGACCTTGCGTAAAAATAGTACATTTTCAGGCACTCCCAATGAAGTCTATGGCC